TTTTTTGCAATCCCTTGACCAAACCCAACTACCATGGCAACCTCGACTGACTCACTCAAGATGCTAATGTACGGGGCTGTCCTCGACCCCAAGTGCAACGTCACGATGCCCGTATCGCGATCGCCAAACCCGGTCCAATATCTTTCCCACAGTTCGCAACACACCCAATATTTTCCGGCAGAACGTGTTACAAGCACCAACAAGACCGTCCCATTCCGCTGAATTTTTGTCTGAACTTCAAAGCGCCGGCTACCCTTTTGTGCCATCTGCTTGTTCTGTCCACAATCCCGCTAATTTTTCCAATGGCACGATCAAGAGGTCAGTTTACCGATTGGGGAAAACCTTGCCGCGCACCCCATGTAGCATGTGCTAACCATTATTTTCGAGAAAAAAGGCTTGCTATCTGTGACAAATCCCTTGGTTTTGTTTGGCAAGACAACTGCCTCAACGATAAAAAACATATCCCTATACATGTCGCCAGTGGTTGCTTTAATTTAATTTTGCGTGGCCTAATTTGTGTCTATATGGTCTCAAAATTATTTACAAATCCAATGCAGAAAAAACGCATGAAGAAACCAGTTTTCTCAGAAAGATATTTCAAATGCTACTTAGAGTGGGGAGTTCTGTTAGTGCTACATCCCCGGCGACAGATTCCCCTTGGCCGTTAACACAACTCCACCCAGTGCATCAACCGACATAAATGAAACTAAGTGTCCACCAGATCGCAACGTATGGTCGATCCGAATGACCGACAACGCTGGAGATACAAAAAATGCTGGAAAAGTTCACAAGCCGTTTGACTTGATTCGTTCGACTAGTCCATGGAAGCGTCTTGTTGGCGAAGCTGTTATAGGCCAGAATGGCTCACAGATATCTATCCGAGAAGAGTGTTTGGCTTACTGGCAACGCTATTGCAGACAAGAATTCAGTTGCACCAATTAAGTTGCAACCTTCAATCCGGACTGCTAACACTCAACAAAAGGTGGACCACAAATAAAAGGCCACCTTCAGTCTCACAAGTACCCTGGTACATATCTCTACTTAGACGTCATATTGATCCTTGTGCTAACCATCTTCCATGTGCTCCATTCAATGGTGGCATGAATTCCTCAGTCAGTGCATGGCTAGCATATTTGAGGCTACCCGACTTAATAACGTCTTCCCAAGAAAATGGGGTGAACTGGCAGAAAGGATGCCCGCAATGCATGCAGCTACCACAGATGTGTTAGTACAAAAACTCAAAGGGAGAAATCCAAGGGCACCGGATAAAGATTGGCTATACTGCAGACTGACTAATGAAAGAAGAGACGATGCTGCTCGGCTGGACACAACGGAGAGGAAAATAAAGCCTAATTGAAATGTTACGAAAGGAAGAATTATCCGTTACTATCTAGCAGCTCCAACACCACCGTTTTCAAAATATGTAGGTTTTCACCTGCATTGGTGCAAGTGGCCTCGGGTTACCGCTAGATCACTGCTTTCTTGCGCGTATGGGTTTTACTAAGGGTCTCTCTGTGTGACGAATGGCACCACGAAGGCAATCAAACTGTTGCTCCATAAGTTGTCGAATAAATGGGAGTGGCACATCTGTGAATAAACGGATTTTGCGACCAAAAAGCGCTTTCTAGGGTGAGTTATTGTTTGTCACGTTTGAGTTATGTTTCGCCTGGTAGCTCAACAAGAAGGTCTCAGTAATCTTCGTTGACGTTCTCTCCTACTACTTCAGTGATGCGTCCGTTTGTTAATTTCTATAAAACGCTCAGATTAGCCATCAGACTGAGGATGGACTGGCGACAATCCAAAGCAGTGAATGCCATTTTGCAGGGAAAACGCGGCGAGTTTCACTGGAGTAAACGTTCTGGCAGTATCTAAAACATGCGATGCAAGTGAGCTTCAAGATTGTGGAGCAAGAATTAATGTGATCCATCAGGGGTGCCTCCGGCCACCAACTGTGAGCGCCTACCAAAATAAAATATTTCTGACTGTTAACTGGTTCGGCAAAATTAACATGTAGCCACGACACAGGGTTAATCGGTGCAGTCCGCAAAGCTGGCTCGGTTTTCCGCTGCGATTTTGCATAACACCGACATTTGTACAGGACTGCACAATATTTCTAACTGCCTGTCCATACTCGGTCAGTGTGAATAACTTTGCTCGAGGGTTATAAGATGTCTTATGCCTGAGTATCCTAATATGTAACTTTATTATCCAAGTTTGCAGTTTTGTTGGTATTTTAACATGTTTACCAAAGAGGAGGCAGCCATAGAATTCCTTGAGAAAATCGTCAATCAAATAAGGGCTAAATGGCGCGTACCGCTGAGACGAGACGGGTGTTTGGTGATAGTGTTATACTTGTTGGAGCCACGGACAATTGGTGAATTGACTGGAATGGCTTGAACGGATGAGGCAAATTTCCTGCTCGACAGAATCTTTCACCCAAAACCGCATCGTCCGATGGCTATCACTGTGCGTCTGTCAGACTTAACAAGTCATTTATATACCGGTAGTTGATTGAAAAATCATAGCCGTGTGTGAATTAGTATCATTCTTCGAACTGAAAATGCTCACAAGTTGCTTTTGATTAGTAAGGAGTGTAAAATGACGGTCATAAATAATTTCCTGAAGGTTATTGGCAGGGAATAAGTGCGTGCCTTTCTATTTGACCGTAATCGCGTTCAGTTGGTATTATTGAACGGGCTGCCTGGTTTATGGCCTTTTATTATCCATCGAAAAATCCGGAGGAAATGACTGCATCTGACGCTAAAATAATATTTGTGTATGTTTCATAATGTGTACGCAGCAAACCTGATGGTATAAGTGATTTCACTGTGCCGAAAGCTGGTTGAAATTGAGGTGACCAATTCCGAGGAACATATCTTTTGAGGATATGTTTGAGGGGACCGAAGGAAAGATCACCGCAAGGATAAATGCGCCGGTAGTAGCAATCTCAGAATACAGGAAATTCTATCTGCGTCAGAGCGACAGTCAGAGTTATCGAGAATGTAACACAAACTTTGATAGACATAAGAAAGAATGCACTATTTTTTTCGTACACGATGACTTTACTCTTTGATTAGATCAAGTAATAAATGTAAGTGATGAAAATGTTGTTCCTAATCACTCATGGCCATATTGATATCATTCAGCTACGCAATGGCACCCGTTAATTCAATTAACATGGCGTCTGTTATCATATGGAGTATGACTAGTGGCGTTTATACCCCAAAATAAGACGGGCGAACTGGAGAAGACCACGGTGCATGTTGATGTTTAGGGGATATTTGGTGTCATCGGGAAACACGATGTGTAAATAGGCGTCAGCTCCATCGAGGTTAGCAGAGCAAGTGTCTCCACTTGGTTAGGCGCAGAGGCACTGACGTAAAATGAGTGCAGCATTCGAGACTATGAAATAATCAGCACAGACTTTGATCTTCACATTTGCCTCTTTGACTGCAACAACATGAACCTCCCGGGAAGAATGGATGACGGGCTTATAATATCTGAAGTACGGAAATGAGCAAATTAGGAGTCCACGAATAGAAGAGCCGCATAAAGTGCAGGGCGTTTTCATGTATAGACATAATGCAGTACTCGTAAGTTTGCCAAAAATTCTTCGACAACTCACGACCGGTTTTCCCCTTTGGAGCTCATCAGTTAGGCGCAGTTCCGAGTTTCCGCCTACCCTATGTTCTACTTGAAACCAAATTGCACGAACTTAGCGAAATACACTCATACAGGGCGTCCTCGTCTGCGTGGGTTTCTGAAATGCTCGTATGTGTGAGATGTACGCGGGCACATAAGACCGTAGAGCGGAAAGATTCAGCTGATCTAACCAATCAACACTGATTAAATTGAGATTTGAACGGTCTGTGTGATATCAAATGCCTCCAAGTCGCATATAGTTGAAAGACATAGTAAATGAAATCACTACTATGCATAAGCAGGCTTAATTTCCACACTGCACTCCAAGTGGGACCTGAAATCAATGTGAGGTCTGAAGCTGTATCGAGCTGAAGACAGACAGGATGATTATTTACAGAAAGTGTGAAATTTTTCCTGCAGAATACGAAATTTGTTTTGTGATACGAAAATAGAAATCAACGAATATCGCTTCTGCTTTAATTCAGGAGCCCAATGAGGTGGACCCTTCCGGTGAACAATAGGCTTGGCATAATGCTATACACAGGGTTCTTCTCAATGACCAATATGACGGCGTGTCCGGCCTCAGTGCCTTCTTAAAGGGCAAAAGCGACTACGTCTCCAGTCCCCGCAAGAAAAACACGGTATAGAAGGCTTATTGTGTGTGGGATAAGAACTGCGCCTAAAAGCCTTATTCTGAGTCTCGGAAACATGGTTCAATATGTCTTACGAGCCTGATGCCTGGTCGATCGTTATATAATCCTGATTCAGTTTGATGAGGCACTTGCATTCAGCACCGAGCTCCTGTACGCTTTTCTTTAGGTTCTGTTTAGGTCAGTGCAACAATGTTTTCCAAATGCTTGCATGGTGAATGGACTGGATGCCAGATATAAAAAGGAGGTATTTGAACTGATTTTCCTCCATATCGCTGGGTTTGAAATCCTCGCATTCTCGATTGATACATGTTGTAAGCCCCACAAAGTCACCATCTTTCAGGACTAATTTAAACTCTTGGTAATATATGTTGGACCGGAAGGCGCCATCCCCAAAGATTTTCATAAGATCTGGATAGTACTGTCGCAGCGGAGATCATCAGGCTGGTTGTAAAGTTTGTAATCTGTGTAGCGGTCATGTTCACGTGAACGAAGTTTCCCAGTTAATAGCTGTATCTGCCACGGGTCATTCTGCTTGACAAAATCGAATGATGTCCCGTGCTTCTTACTCCGAAACAAAATTTCAATCTACTTCCGCGTCAGGAATGACTTCTGAAATATAATCAGTATTAAAACATGCAAATGAACCTGATGGAAGATGTGAGCTTTTTTCTGAAGCCTGGATTCTCATCTCATTAGTTTCATTAGTTTTGGCTGCGCTTGCTTTTATTGCTGCAGTTGCACACACAGACTGCTTTGCTGGTGTTCTAAAAATCGCCGAAATTTGGTTAGCTGAAATTAATATCACGCAGACCCTTCGTCACTGTTGTCTGCGCGCTACCCGAATGATTTTGGATCCTGACGGAATTTATCCTAATACGTCTGATGGCCTGTTAATTGACTGGGAAAACGTCAAGAGAGTAGAGAAGTTGCGCCGGATAAAGATAAACTATATTGCAGACGAACCAATGGGAGAAAAAGCGCCGCGGCTCAATAGGGCACGACAGAAAGAACAGCGGAATCTCAGTGAAATGGTAAAAAAGGTACAGCTGTTCTCTAGAGTGTAAATGTCCAAACATGTACCAGGCGGTATTTCAGACGGGTAAAGCTTAACACCGCCACGTGTCGGAGCAACGCAACATTTACAGACCACATATAATCATGGTATTGTTGTCCTCCGGTGTCCTTTTGATTCTAGTGATCTCTCAGTGTTTTTAGGCACATTAGCACAACAGGTCACGTCACAAAAAATTGTGAAAATATTCATCAACATTTATCTACATGAATCCGGGCCTGTAGGTGTGAATGGTTAGCCTCCCTATAAAAGTGATTTCTGATAAGATAGTCTATTCTATAGATTTTTTGTTCAACCACGTCTTTGATGCCAGGATGAGGCAAACGTTGGAAGACCTTCAAGATACCGGCAGTAAATTTTTTGCTGACGATGACCTCGTTGATCTGAGGACCACATACTTCATGCTAAGCAAGCGGCGTACAAACATTTCAAGTCAAATGGCCACAATCCTGTCAGCTTTCGACATGAGGCAAGCGCATGACGAAACCATTTACCGAAACAAGTGCTGTTGCACGTGTCTCTTTCAGGATGGCAACGAATGCGAGGTGGACAACATATGGCTTGTGAAGAGGGCGTGGAAGAGATTACGTGGTGTTTGGGTGTTGTCGGCGTTGCAAGCCTTCCAGGATGGGGGCCAAATGACCCCACCTGCGCTAGGCTGGGAACACGCTTATAAAAGCTGACCGATCGATGTGAGTAACATTTATACTACAAGTTACATTTTTGGTTGTCTGATCGGGCCGTTGAAGGCCTCAGGACCTTAGAATGGCTGACACAGATCAGCATTACATCCCCTCCTTACTCACTCCCTTTCTCTCCTACCCACCCTAACGCTTTGAATATAATTGTAAAATACGTCGACGTATTCAGTAGAGCCCACTTGGGTGACGTGCAAAATCACAAGCCAGAATTTGTGGATTCTTGAGATTTATCAAAAGATGCGTTACTACATGTATAAAATATGTAATAAAAGGGGTACAAACCTCAAAGTATGAGGGCTTCCGTCTAGACTGTTGCACGAAGTAGTGCAAGTCCAAAGAAAGTCCGGAAAAGTTGGCAACTCGATCTTAATTTGCCACACACGCCTGGGCGCTGTAGCGTGGGACGTCAGGAAGTC